GGTCACCCACTGAGGACACTTGGGCACCTTCCACCACCCGGCTGTTGAGAGGAATGCTCTGAGCTCCTTTGAGACCCATTTGCAATTCTTTCAGGTACTCACAATTTGCCTCGCATTTGCAGGGTCCACATTCACATATTTACGCAAATACAAACTGGAAACATTTGTTTAAAAAATATATACATACCTGTGCTGAACCTGCACAGAACCGGTTCTTTGTGGTTACTCCCTAAACGATACAGTGTAGCAGCTATTGACACAGCACTTCCATTGCATGAGGTGTTCACAGTATCCAGAGGATGTGTGTGGGTTCTATGCAAATACTATGTCATTTTATACCCGGTAAGTGAACTGAGTCTGAGGCAGTGGTGTGTCTGCTCAGCTGTCAGGAGCAGCACAGGCTGGGACTTCACTGCAAGTGCATGCCAGGTGCGGGCCAGACCCTCTCCAGGTGAGGGCCACCTCCCCACTTCAGAGGGAGCCCAGGTGCCTCCCCTTCTGATGAAAACACCCGTTCACAGTTGTCACAGACGTGGACGCTCAGGTGGCCTCAAGTGCTGGTGGGGCTGCTCAGGCTGCCTCTGCACCCTTCTCTGTGCCCAGGGCTGGTGAGTGCGCCCCTTCCCCATGAGGCAGGGACCTCTCTACCCTGCACCACACCCCCATACCTCAAAGGACCCTGTCCTGTTCAGTGATCAAGGTTTGCAGGGGCATAAGTGCATCGCTAGCAAGCCCTGCACCTCCCTTCCCGTGCACCCCTAGAATACCAGAATGCCAGCGACAGAGGAACACTGGGTTTGAAAAGGAATTAGTGAGTGATCATCCTGGTACAAGTCGACCTGTGTGAGCTCATATCCAAGGTGCTTCAGGGGGTGCCGACGAGAGGGTGGGGTGGACTCGAGGAAGAGGGTATTCTTGCAGCCTTGCAGGGTTTCCCCAGATCACTGCTCATGGGGGGCAGCAGCCATTCTGTGTGGGTGTGGGCAGTGGGAGGAGACAACAGCTTTGTCATGTGACCAAAAGGAACACCACCAAGAAGGGGCAGCCAGGCCAAGGGCTCCGGGTCTGACGTCCAAGAAAGATGGTGGGACACAGTGCTCCATCCCAACACACGCAGCTCGAGTCCCCCGACGGTACTGGACCACCCAGCAGAGGGCCGTTCTGCCAGCAAGCAGCTGGCATCATTCAAAAGCAGCAATGTCATCGAGACGGGGAAGCCGAGGAAACACGGCAGGCGGAGACCAGAGAGACAACGATGAAACACCGTTTGTGAGGCCCCGACTCAGTCCTGGGCCAGTAGAGGCTGTCAGAGTGAGAACGTGAACTGCAGACCAGACGAAACACAGTGCTTCCATCTCTGAACTGCTGTGGTTGCACAGGAGAATATTCCCATTGCTAGGGAACGAACATCAGTGGTAGTGAGTAAAGGGACCTGAGGCTGGGCGTGGTAAGTCGTCCCAGCAGTCAGGAGGCTGAGGCAGGAGGATCAGTGTAAAGGCAGCCCAGGCCGTCTCGAGAAAAAAGAGGCCAAGAGTTGTGCAGTTAAGCAGGGAAGAAGGAAGGGGAGGACGGGTGGAGGCGCAGCAAGCAGCTCGAGCATGTAACAAAATGTTACAATTTGAGAAATCTGGGGCAAGAGTATGTGAGAGGTTATGTGGTTTTTGTTTCTATTTCCCCAACTTTCCTGGTTAGTTCAAACTGGGCTCGGTGGTGCATGCCTATAATCCTGGACATTCAGGAGGCTGAAGCAGGAGGATAATAAGTCCAAGGCCAGTCTGGGCTCCACTCTGTGTCAAAAAAAATAAATAAATAAAATCCATCCAAAATCAAAGTATAAAAATGTAACAGAATTCAGTTCAAACAGTGAGAGCTCTTTGGGCTTTAGCTCCTGTGGAGAGGTGTCCAGTTTGCCTTGCGGATGCCCTCCGCAGACACCAGCCATGGTGTTGGTGACGGGTTGCCCACACTGATGTCTGCCGCAGCCTGCAGGACACGTGCAGGGGGTGCGGCTGGACCATGAGGCAGCCGCCTTCCTCCGGAACCGGCGCCCTGTGCCTGCCCTCCATCCTGGGTCTCGGGCCTCCCTCATGCCTATGGCGAGGAGAACAGTGCCTGCATTTTAGGCAAACAGGAAGGAGGAAGCGGAAGACACTGCCCTCCAGGAGGGGCTGTCTGCCGGGAAGCCGCCCTCCCAAGCCCCCCAGGCTGTGGGCTGGCACAGGGTGTGCAGCACACACTGCAGGCAGCCAGGAAACTATTGCAAGCAACCTGACCAGGCGTGTGGCCGCCAAGCCCTGCCACACTGTCCCTGGGACTAGCTCCAAATCAACATGCGAAAATGCATTTTGAGCGAGTGAGATTGTTAGGGTCCTGAGGCTTTGTATGCCCGCCGGGGGCACAGGGTTGTATGCCAGCACCTTTCCCTGCGATCTGCCCAGACCGTCCTCGGGTCTGTCCTGCACGGAAAGTCTCAGTGGGCCAAGCGTGCTGGGCAATGCCTGGTGAAAAGCTGGGGCTGAAGTACGCTGCGTTCCAATGGGATCTTGTATGTCATGTTATTTTTGAAAACGACACAAATTATCAGGAGTTTCAAGGGATTGTAAAAGTTTTCCACACAAACTTTTGGCAGGGACTTTTCAGATCGAAAGACTTGACATTTAACAACTTTCAGTAATAACTGGAGATTTTAATTTTGGGTTAATTTTTGGACTCCTGGCTGGTTTGGAACTGCTGGTATGAAACAGTGAGTTAACAGGAAACTCGAGGCTGTGGCAGACTGAGCGTCATGATGAGGTGGCCGGTTGTGAAAGAGTGCGATGATAAAAGTACATGCAGCGAGAGAAGAAATGAACTCACAGCACAAGATCAGGGACAGGCCACCCAGGGAGGCCAGGGCTCTCCCTGCTCAGACCCTGGCTGGCTCAGGACACTGCAGTGGAGTGGAGTCATCGGAAATCATAAGACGGAGATTTCTGGATTTTTCACATCACTATTTTGAACAACTGGTCAAGAATATTTGTTACTAAAACAGCCATACAGCACACGTCAGCTACTGAAAAAAGGACTCCTTTGAGAGAGGAATACTGCATTGATAAGCTCTCGGAGTGGAGCAGAATGGAGATGCAGAGGTGGAGGCAAGCGCAGGGGTTCACACATGTGAATGAAGCTGGTTCTGATCCTGCTGACTTTCTGGGGAGCTGAGCCCCTGCGGCCATGAGCGACACTGAGCCGGGCTCGGGGCCTGGCCGCAGCCGTATCCTCAGCACGTCTGACGGGCCCTGAGCCGGGCTATGAACACAGCCTGTGCCACTGCGATGTCGGAGCTGGCAGGCACTCCTCCAGCTGGTGGGTGAGCCACAAGGCTGATGCAGGCGTCCACACGGGGCATGTGCAGGGCCCCTCACTCGAGACACAGAAATAGAGGAAGTGTCTCCATGCCATCCATGCAGTCAGAGGTGTGTGGTGTCCACACCCCAGGGTCAAGGCCAGCCTGGCCCACGGGCACCCCAAGGCCTCCTTGTGCCGGGCTGTGTCTTGCCAGGCGTCCTCTCATAACCCTGCCTCATCCTGGTAAGTCGGTGCTGGGCAAATGTTCGCAGGCGCCCCTTGGGCTCTGCCAGGCAGAACCAACAGCTGTTCACACATCCACTCACTCATGCAGCAAGTGCCAAGCATGTCAGGGACCAAGGCTGACACCAACCCCGTGTGGAGCTGTGTGATGACTGGCCCAGGCTGTGCCCATGTCTGCTGCTGGGGTTGGATGTGCCCTCGATGTCACGCTGCCGGTGGCTGCGCTGCAACTGCACCCTCACAGGGCCAGACACTAGAGCAGGGCTGGAGGAAGTGGCTTAGGCGTCTGTCCGCCCGCCAGTTCCTTCCACCACGGGTGGCCACAGCCTCCCTGCTGGTGGGAGACACTGCTGCACAAGCCACCCGGGTGTTCCCCCACAGGTGGCCTGCTGGCCCGACCTTGGACTTCAGCCTCACCTGGGGGCAGCCAGTCTCTATGCTTCCTCCGGGACACAGGCTCAGACGCTGTCACGGCAGCAGGGCCAGGAGTCATGGTACATCTACCCCACAGCCCTCTCACCTAGGAAGCACGAGTTCAGCCGCCCACTCAAGTCCCCACTTCTCTGAGCCTCGAGCCCCCCAGCACACCAGTACTCCCTGCACGGTGCTGCCAGCACAGTGACTGGAACTCTGTGAAAGGAACCTGAGCAGCTACTGCACTAGCTGTGCTCCAGCAGCTCTGCTACGGGATGGGGTGGGGTAACAGCGACAGGGCAGGCCAGCTTCCTGCCTAGAGACACGCACCCGCCCACGGCTCTGGGTCACTCGGTCTCCTTGGCTAGTTTTGTGAAAACCATGGATACCGGGAAATATTTCCCACTGAAAGAGAAAGCACAGTGCCAAGAGAACACACCACAGCAAGCAGGGCAGTCCACGCCCCTGCTACAGCCAGCCATTTCCCACCTCCACACCTGTCACTGGGAGAGGTTTAGGCCACTTTTACCAGATCTTCCTGGTTTCCAAGCGATGTCCGAATCCCTGGTCGCTGCTGACTCTAACTCTAGCCAAGGAGCCTGCGTGTGCGGGCCCTGTGCAGCGCAGAGGCAGCTCCTGCGTGCCGTGCTCCGTGCTGTTCCTGAGCCCGTCTGCACCCATGGGGGCCGCAGTGGCAGGCTGTGGAAACCCTGGGAGGTGTCAGCAGTCAGTCCCAGGCGTTGACGAGGCCTTTTGCCAGAGGCCCTGTCTCTACACCCCTCCTGAGTGGCGGCAGAGGGGCCACGGGGCGGCACTCTGGCCTGTGCGTGCAGATGACATCTGGGGGGAAACAGGATGCAGAGTGTGAACCCCGGGGAGCCCTCAGTCTGGTGAATTCCAAGTGAATTCTGACCCATGAAGGCTGGCCGTCACATTCTGTATTTCCAAGAAAACATCCCCGGGACACGTGCAGGAAGGGAAGCTTACTTTAGCAGAGACAAGTGACACCCACCAGATTCAGTAAACATCTGTCACTTTATTAAACATCTGGCAGTAGAAAGCCTCCAGGTACTGGGGGCTCCCAAGGAGAAGGTCCGAGGGCAAGCCCTGGGGCAGCCAGGTTTCTGGCTAACCATCTCAGCAGGGAGCAATGTGTGTAACTTCTTAGCTTGAGATAAATAAGCATTACACATCTTGAACATTAAAGTGAGTATGCAAGCACTGGTCATCAAATCTGCCGTTTGGAGAGTCCTGTGATACACAAGGAGCCATGGGATATGATTTTCAGAGGCAACAAACACATGCTTTCTGCAAACACTTCTTCAAAGGTGCATCTGATGAAAATAAAGTCTGAATGCTAACTGTACACTCATGGTGAGTAACATTTTGTCTGCTCACCACACCGCCAGGTTGGTGTATTCCTTTGGCACAGGGAGCAATGTGCTTGGGACCCTCCTCAGGCAGCTGCTGCCGGGGTGCCAGGTCTGCTGCAGGCCTGGCAGTGAGGCTCTCTGGGCCACCCCTGGCTCGCAGGGAAGCATTCCTCACTGCCTTGGCCTGAAATGGGCAGGGAAACACCAAGCAGGAAATCAGGGTCTACTCGGGTCATCTAGGGCACTGTAATTAAAAATGGCTCTCAAGTCTAGACAAATGTAACCTGGCTGCTAAACATTATTGTGTCAACAAGAAAAAAATTTCAATTTAAAACATCCTCATTTCAAAACAGGTCTCCTGATTTACAGGCTTTTGAACTCGAAGCCCACCCGCCCGTATCAGGTGGGGTGAATTCCAGAGGGCTGCTGGGCGGGGCGGGGGGGGGGGCATGCCGACACCTTCATGGCTGGGAGAGTTTAATGAGGGCTAACAAATCACATAGTTTTCTTAGACTAAGAAGGAAATGACTTCCGAATGAGACCCAGCGTGAGTGTGTGACTAGGATGGTCGGAGCAGACCCAGCTACACCAGCCACGGCTCTTCCGGCATGAAGTCACTTCAGGCACTCCGACTACCTCCACCCTCCTCAGCGTTCAGCCTGCTGCCACCACCAGACTCCTTTCCTGGGTGTCAGACATGGCCCACTGAGGCCAGGCCCACAGGAACGAGCCGGGACAGAGAGGAGATCATGGTGCCAAAGACCTGCTCCTCAGGGTGGATCAAGATCTCCGTAACACTTTCTGGCTCCTTCCGCATGAATACTGATGAAGACAAAGTTGGCGTTCCGCTCAGAACCGCTTCGCCCTCCAAAGCCACTCTCCTGGAGCACCGCAGAACCCGTGGGCCCTGGCCACCAGGAGCCACGGCCTACCTGGCCACAGAACTACGGCCTCTTCTTCTGCAGCACATGGCCACCGGGCCTGTCTGGACGGCTGTTCTTCGTTTCCGGCTGTGCGAAGTTCCAATCTACGGGACTGAGGAGCTGCTGGGTCTTCTTGTGGGTCCAGTATGGATTCATGACCAGCGTGAGCAGGGCCAGCCCGACGAGGAACAGAGCAAAGTGGGGCAGGTACAGGCTGCTGAGCAGGCCGTCCCAGTACCAGAAGCACACCCACCACATGTGGTAGGTGAGGACCATGCGGCAGTGGAACATGTGGATCATCAGCCACTGGTTGGCCTTCCAAAGCAGCGTGGAGGACCAGCCAGCCTGTGGACAAAGCAGACGCAGACGTCAGCTCAGGAGGCATGTGCCCCGCCCAGCCAGGGCTAGGCTCGCCAGCACCCTCTGCCCTGGTTCACACAGACAGACCCTGGTCTCTGACGACAGCCTGGCCACAGCGGGGGCCTGAAGGCAGCTCACCTGTCCTCTTGCTCTTCTTTTTTTAGTGTGTGTGACAGGGTCTCGCTTTGTAGTTCAGGCTGGCTCTGAACTCACTGTGTAGCCCAGGCTGGCCTTGAACTCATGGCGACCCTCCTGCCTCAGCCTTCCAAGTGCTGGGACTACAGGCACGGGCCACCATACCTGGCTCCCTTGCTCTTCTTGACTCCTGCTCCCCAAAGCAAAATTCAACCCTTTGTTCATCTCTAACGTGCACACAGAGTACCTAAGCTCTGTTTACCGACCAACACTGTCAGGCACAGGCCCTGAGAGCAGAATCTCTGAGGAGAGAGTCTAGGATGAAAACCGGGCCTTAGTTTAGTATTTCACTGCAGTGGCCCTTGGATACAGCTCAAAAGGACCTGCCTTAAAGTCCTGCTGCATTTCAAGGAAATACTTCAGCAGCCCCAGCTAGAACCACACGGGGTACCCAGTGCATCAGATCATGGCTTGAGGGTGGGGTGGCCAGTGCTTCCTGGACCAGGTTCTCCATCTCCTCTAATCCCCACCCGGGCTGCAAACCACGGGCAGCTCCTCCTGGTACACAGACAGCTAAGTTAGACAGAAACTGACAGGCAGTCAGAGAGGGACTGGGCCGCGACAGACTTCATACAGAAGATGAGACACATGAGAACAGCTGGGAGGGAGCCAGGCCTGCAGCCTCCCTAAGACAGACAGCAGCTTGAGCTCTACTGTCATCGGCACCGCCTGGTCCAGTGGACCTGGAGAGGGCCTCAGATGCGCAGGTGGGGAACCAACACCTGACCGAGACTCTACCCCTTCCCTAAAATGTCTGAGCTTTCTGCGCCCACCATGTGCCCTCACTTGTGCCTGGCTTCTCTATGGGATCCATGTTAGCCAAGCTACTGTACTCGTACCCCACAGTCAGCCTCAGCTTGGCCTCAGCTTGGCCCAGAGTGGCCCGAGATGTGGTCATTTTCATGTGTAAAAACCTCTGGACAAAGAGCCTCACTGGCAGCCCACTTTTGGGCCCACTCCTGTCTCGCGGGAGCTTTCTCTCGATAAACCTTTCCTACTCTTCACCCTTGTCCTTGTATCCATTCTTTGGTTATCAAAAGGTGTGAGCTCGGCATGTCTGACACTTGAGGAGCTGGGAGTCACAGCCCTGTGACACTAGGACCAGGATGCTAACCCTGTAATGCAGTGGAAACTCGGCATCTGGACACAGCTGTCCCCGAGGCCAGGCGAGGGCAGGTGCACCTGGTGCTTGGGGGGCAGGGCCACCTGGGGACCTCAAGAAAAGAGGACACGGAGCCATTCTGCTGCTGCACAGTCAACAGGAGGACTGCTGCTCTCACAGTGTCCTGAGGTGAGCGCACTCAGCTCCGACACAAGCCCACACCACAGACCTGGCGCAAGAGTGAGCCCTTGAAGATGAACAGGAAGACAGATCAAGAAAACAAGCATCTTATTTGTTGTCTCCAATATTGTGAATTTTCACCAACAACCTCCTGTGTCTCCCTCCTTAAATCAGACATATCAGGCTCTTTCCTCATCCTATTGCTGACGAAGCCATTCAGCACTGTGAGGAAGTAAAACAAGCAGCTTTACTCAGCTGGGAGCAGGCACCGTGGTAAGCCCTGTGCTTGTGGCTGCTGAGTGGCCCTGATCTGTCTTCACACAATACCCCAGTTTCCAACAAGGAGCCCTGGATCAGACAGGGCAGGAAACCTGAGGCTCACACAGCAGGTGGGGTGGGCTGGCCTGGAGCCAGGCACGGACACAGGCCAAGTTGGCTGGGGCCTGCAAGGGGCAGACACGCGTGCATTGGGCTCTGGTGCACAACATGGCTAGAGCAGAAGCAGGTGTTATCCGATAAATACTCGCGCGTCCTCCGTGTGGTATCGGGGCAGGTGCATGAACTATGTACAGATGTCCTGTGGCCAGACTCTGCCCAGCCCCTGGGCATCGAGTGCTTCTGGAGCATGGACAGCAATGGTCTCATGTCCTCCCCAGATGGGACCTCACCTGAGTGCCCACCCAGGGCGGCTCATGGCCTGTCATGAACACGGAGGGTGGGCAGCGATCTGGCTGAGGTCAGCCGACCTCAGGACGCATACGGAAGAACCTGTTCTCTGCACAGCACACGAACAGCAGACTCTGCTCTGCTCTGCAGTCCCATGTTGCTGGCCCTGGGTTGGGAGCCCAGATGGGCTGGTGCCCAAGGGCCACCGTTGTATGTGTGTGCTCTGCTCCACAGAGAAAGGAAACACGCAGGGGCCGTGCAGGGCTGCTGGCCCATGTCCACATGGTTTCACGGTGGGGAGCGGCTCCAGGAAAATAGCCACCGTACCACCTGTCTGGCTTCTGGAACCGTCCTCAGCCACAGGCAGGGCCGCCCTCGCAGGCCTCAGCTTCCAGAACCTTCTACCAACATGCATGTACCGGCTGTGGAGCCAGTGTGCTGCGTGATGGCCCTGGTGACTGCCCCCACCTTCCCATCAGCTCTACATCCTCTGAGTTCCAGCCAGGCTCGCACAGGCCTGCCCCCACTGCCCGGACACAGTTCGAGGGCTCTTCTCCACTGTTTTCCCACTGACTCCTGTGGTTGTCTGCAATTTCTAATATTCACATCAGACACAGAAACTGCAACTGCAGCTCACTGACTAACTTTAGAAAAACCAAAGCCCAAAGCTTGAGAACTGAGAGCTAGCTCCTTGATCTCACTCTTCAGACAGTAATGAAACCATTTATAGTCAGTGTCACCAAATGCCCTGAGGAAGGCCCGGGCACATGACGAAATCCACAGAGGACACCTGCCTGTGAGAACAGGAGGCCTGGCCTCACTGCACACCTCTCACTACACATGTACAAATGCACACATACAAAAACACATGTGCACAATACGGAAAAACAGGCCCCTATTAGCTCATTTACATTTGTACTACTGATGGTGTGAATGTTTATCTTTAGATGACTGAGTCCTAAGCAATCTATTTACTATTAATTATAAACATATCAGAATCAAACGCAAGACAGAAATATTACGAGTAAGCCACCTGCTGCCTTAGAACCCGTCTTCAATCAGTGGATCACTCTTGTCTTGATTTACACTCGTGATGGAGAACCTTTTAGAGCTCAACATACCAACAGCCCATGACAGCACGTGTGCCATAGGTTCACCACCACCGATATACCCCTTTGATGGAGTCAGACTTTGAGGAGGGGACCTTACTCTGCGAGATGCTGATGGGGCCTGGGTCCAGGGTCTTCCCTAAATCGTTCTCACTTAGCCAGCCGCTGCATTTCCACTCACCTGCCCAAGGCAGAGGGCTTCCACCTCCATCCCTGGGAAGGCCCACCTAAACTACTTCTGTCTCCAACTGCTCATGGCAACCTCTGGTGCCTCCTTAGCCTGCTGTGGCGCCATCTACCTTCCTTCTGTGGCTGCCCCTCGATGCTGTGTGGTGATGACGTGGCCCGAGCACTGCCTGGTTCACTGGCCACAGCTCCGTGGGCCTCAGGGCTCTGCACACTCCTGCCACTCACTCACACATCTTGCTTGGGACCAGGGTCTTGCCACAAACGCTTACTGTGCTGTGGACACACAGCACCCAGGCAACTGGCACTGGGGACAGGATGATACTTCACACGCATTTCCCTGCCCGAAGCCCACCACAGGATTCTGCGGTTGGAAAGGACTCAGTAAGAGGACCTGCTTGTGTGCCTGGTTAATATTCCCGGCACTTCAACTTTCCTGTAAAATGTCCCATGAATGAAACATCCTGTAACTCATCATGAAAGATGTTAAGAACCTATGCTAAAGAGGAACCTTAAGTTTCACATGAAGAACATTTTGACATCAAAATAAGCATCATGATCACATGTGAAAGACACACATTAGGGCCGGGGATTTAGCTCAGTGGTTCTGCCGCCTGCCTCGCAAACACAAGGCCATGAGTTTGATCCCCGGTACCAAAAACAAGAGAAAGACACACATTAAAAAGTACATTTTTAAAAACAAGAAGGACATGCTGGACCACCACTGTGCTAAGTGCTGGTACCACTGGTCACTGGTAAACAGCCAAGGGTGGGGTGGAGGCTGCATGGCCCAGGAGCAGCGGGGCCATCTACCCTCTCACTGCTGAGCCAGGGTGCAAACGTGAGGGCAAGCAGACACTATCACCAGCACCCTTGCACAAAACCAAAATGCAAAAAAAGATATCTACAGGTATGTATTAATTCAATTTCCGAAGCACTGAAGGAAATAAGTATGTTTTCTAGGGCACACAGCACTACCCATGAATCATCAGATCCACCGAGTTTTCTTTTAGAGAATAGGAAGCCCAAGGAACTCAAAATGGCCTTCAGCCAGATGAGCGTCTCATTGCTCAGGCAGCTATAATTTGGCTGCTGCTGAGCCTCCAGTGGGCCCCAGGGATGCTCCAGCCCATGACAGAATGGGCTCGGACTACTCCTCCACAGCATACACTCACCTTCAGGAGCATCCAGGAGATGCAGGTAAATGGGGTGCTCATCTCCAGGAGCAGTGTGATCATGGCTAGGTAGTGGCCAGCTCTGAGGTTGACTGCCGAGCCAAGAAATCCCAAAAAGGCAAAGAGGTGGTGGACAACCAAGAAGAGGTCGAAAGTCCGGAAGAACAGGCTGGACAGGTACACGGCCACATTCTCAAAGAAGAAGAATCCGGTGGCTGTGGTGACATGGAACCAGCACCAGTTCTGCTGGCCAAGCGCCTTGTCGGCTTGAAGCACGGGGTCCCCCAGCAGTGCCCACAGCCCCGCAAATGTGCTCTGGACCCCAAAGACGGCACGTGTGGCCGCCAGGTCCCAGAAGACCTTCTCTCTGGCCACCAGGGAGCGGTAGGTGGCGTTCAGAGAGGACGAGAGCTGGTGGCAGACTACAAAGACGCCCAGGTAGAAGACAAAGCCCGCGACCACCAGCGTGGAGCGGATCTTCCAGGACACATAGTCCAGGTCAAAAATGCCCTGGGAGCTGCCCCCATCGCTGTCAGAAGTCATTGTCCTTCAGTGCACACCCACAGAGTCCTGGTGCCCACTCTGGGCTGCTGGCCCTCACGCTGCGTCTCGTCCCAGGAAGCGTCGGGGCGGCTGTCTCTGGGACCTTCATGTATCCGTCTTCAACCTACAGCAGAAAAGAGTTCACCTGTGTTGACTGGGAGGACGATCGCTGCCCAGCGAGGCAAAGACACAGCAAGCATTCCTTTCAACTCTGTGCCTACTCTTATGCACTTATGAAGACACAAAAATGAGACAAGGCAACACTGGCAGTATAGGCGAATGAAGAAAATAAGCCCTAGATGGAGAGGCACAACCAAGGACGGGACAGGGGCATCCTAATGTAGGCACATGGCCATGTACTTCCCACAGGATCCCACAGACTGGCTCAGGCTCCACGCAGTCTGATTCAGAGCCCACAGGGTAAGACACCTCTATGTAATTACAAGATGCGGCACTCTACCAAAGGACGTCACTTCGAGGAGGCAGAGCTGCCTGGGCTCCAAACTGCCTGGCAAAGCAAAGCTCCTTATGCCCCACTCTGCACCTCAATTACAGCCCAGTATGGGCACAGGGCCAAGCGTACCTGGTCCAACCCTGTCCCTTTACGCGCTGGCCCTGCGGCCTCTGAGAATCTCTGAGACTTGGATTCCTTGGGAAGAGCAGAGTATGAGCACTTTCCAAGCAGCAGATGCCACAGGACTGAAGCCATGTCTGCCACAAACCACAGGGTGGGCATTCCTAACTTGCAAAGCTACAAAACATGGAACTTTCTGAGAGCTGACAGATGCCCCAAGTGGAAAATTCCATACCTGACATCATGTGACAAGAAAAATGAAAATTACTTTATTCGGTTTGCACCTAGTCTCAGCTACTTGGAAAGCTGAGGCAGGGGATCTCTGGAGGCCAGGACTTTGAGGCCAGCTTGGGCATATTGTATAGAAATTCTTCAAGGCTGCGTGCATAAGGTATACTGAAACAAATGAATTTCATACTCAGTCTTGGATCCCATCCCTAAGATACCACATTAGGGACACCCCCTCCCCCCATCTAAAATCTACAGCACTTCTGGCCCAAACATGTCAGACAAGAGACAACCTGTAAGAACTGAGATGGTGTCTAACGCCATGATCATCACCACGGGTCGCCCTTCAGATGGTCTTGTAAGCAATGGAGAAAAAGTGGGTGCTCGGGTTGTGTCTGTTGAGTTGCAGAGAGTCTGCACTGTGGTCAGACCCACCAGGAAGGTGTCCTTGGGGGTGGGCTCTCGAGCATGCACAGTGGACCAGCACAGACCCTGTTAAGTTCTGCACACCCGTCTGCTGGTCAGGGCATCCTCCTGTCCACAAGGTCCACACAGCTTCCTAGAAGAAGCACCTGCTGGTGCAACCCTCACCCAGCACGGCCTCGAGACTCCTCCTGGCCTCTCCAGCTGTGGGAAAGTCCTGTGCACACATAAGTGCAGGGGATGACAGTGTATCCGCCCGTGCTCCAAAAGTTCATTTTCTCCTATTCACAGGGGCTGCCTGCAAGAGATATTGGGAGCCATATGGGTGTTTTACCCACTCAAAAAATTAACATCCATGGAAATGATACAAATCTCTGCAACAATGTAAAAACAGAAGTCCATTCTTTCCTTGCAGCTTTAAAAATTGTTTTTGCTATTCACAATCACTTCCTATTTGCTTATTCTCCAATCACTTGGAGAGCACAGAAAGCAGGCCTCATACCTATTCCTGACTTAGGACCACCCTGCTTCCGTGCCAGGAGACGGTCATTACTGTCATTTCAAAGTTCACACCGGAAGCTTGCCCAAGGAAGCTGTGCTCCTGTTCCTCATGTTATTTCCTAGGCTGAGACCCTGGCAGGGCTCCCCAAAGCCAGCCGGGACTACAGATCTGGTATAAGCCACCCATCTTCTGGGCTCCATTTCAACATCTGCATCTTGCACTGTGCCACACCCCTGGTCCTCTGGGAACAGCCACTTCCCTAGGCAGAGAGGCCCTCCGCCCACAGGCTTTTCTGCTCTCCCACCCCACCCAGGCCAGAGGAAAGGTAAGCCTAGCCGGGGTCTCACCACGAGGGTAAAGCACCTCTGCAGCAAGCTCCTGACACACCCTGGGTCTCCTCCACTACTCCTCCTACAACACTCCAGTTGTTCAGCAGCACGCTCTCACTGATGCCGAGGTGTCCCTCTGCGTGACAATGCCTGGCCCACAGAGGCACTCAAGAGATCTTTGTCCACATATAAGCAGATGCTAAGGTGTGCTCATGTAGTCAAACTTACCCAAGTTCGGACTTGACTGGCTTGTAAAACTGCAGAAGCCAGAGTCTCAAATTCTCAAAACTGAAGGAACCAGAGACGTTTCCTACTCTAGGCTTTCATTTTCAGAATGAGCAAGCAGTCAGCCATTGACAAGCCTCCCTCCAGGCCTCTGGCTGGCAGGGTGCACCCTTCCTGGGGAGGGCACTCCCTGAAGCCTGGGCCACCTGTGCTCACTGAGCCCAAGCAGCAGGCCCAGAGCTGCTGTGGGCACTGCACACTATGCCTATCTACAGGAATTCACCCGAGGCTCTGGCCGCCCGCCCCTGGGCAAAGAAAGCACTGCTGCCTGTGAACCTCCCCTGAGTTGAGTCCTAGGGCCTAGAGCAACTACAGGGCAGCACTGGTACCTACTAAACTCCTGGATCCGACCGCAGCCATGGGGCCAAAACCCTGGAAGTGCTCTCTACTCGCTTTAATACAGGCTATACTGTGTGACAACTCTGACCAGGGGAACCTCAACTGCCTCTCCTTGAACTCTGCGGGCCCCTGGTGTGCTTTAGGGCACACAGAGAGGGTCTCTGAGGGGTGACGCCGGGAGGCTGCTCTGTCCACCGCCAACGCCTTGTCTCACATCACTGGTCATGCTGCAGCAGGACCCAGCTCACCTACACATCTCCAAAGGTAATGGGGGTTGCTCTGTCCTGGCCCAAATGTGACACTGGGCCCTAGCGTGGATCTGTACCTTGTAACCCAAGCCCCTCACAGGTGCGGACCTGCTTCGAGCCAATCTAGCATGGGAGAGGAGGCAACCCAAGGCTTCCCTCCCAAGCACTGAGCGGTAACCCACCGAAGCACAGCCTGGGTACTGCCGAAATGCAGGCTCCGAAACGTCTCTTGTGCTGTCCACAGTCAGTCACCAGATCAGACTCACAGTTGCCACTTTGCCACCACTGAATCAACCTGCTCTTGGCCAATGGAGCCTGTGCCTCGGGTGGGGTGGTCCCAGCTCTGAAGAGCATGGCCACACCCCTTCTCCCAGAGCAGCCAGCACCAGTGCTTCCTTAGGAAGGGTCTGGTTTGGTCGGGGTGGGAGGGACCCCAGAGCACCAGGACTAGGCCATCCAGAACAGCCGAATTTAGTGGGCTCTCTCTGGTTTTTTGCTAACAGAAGCTAAGAAAATAAGTTTCTTAACCTCTCTGGGCCCTGGTGTGTGACTGGGAGTTAAGAGACACAGAGTAATGAAGTATTTATGCTGGCATATTTAACTAGCCTGCTTCACTGCTACCAGGAAGAATGGCCCCCAGGCCTTCAGGCTACCTTTCAGCCATAAGACCGTATCTATGCAGAAGGAAGAACTTCAGACAGAACAGCCAGTGATGGGGACAGAAGCAGGAAAGCCAAAGGCAGGACCCCAGCAAGCCCTGCTAGCTCTCCCAGAGCAGGGGCCACTAGATTCAGAAACAACAGATTACACACCGGTCACTTACTACCCTCAAACAGTGCCACTAATCCCCATTCATTCAGATACAGTGCTCAGAGCTCCTGGGGATGGTGTGGTCCCTCAGGCAAGGTGCACACAGCCCACAGGGCTGGTCTACAGCTGGGAGGGAGGAGCCAGGTCAGCACAACCCAATGGCCGAAGCCTGAGGGAGGAAGCCTGGCTCCCACAGCAGCTGCCAGGGGCCAGCTGGACTGCCCTCACTGGGGTCCTGCAGAGCTGCACTGCCTCTCTGAGCAGCCCCTGAGTCAGCAGTCAGCCACCACAGAGGCGCAATGTGGGGTGAGCCCAGTTCTCCTTCTGTGTCTATTTCTGCTCCTTGGCCCAACCACATGCCTCTCACCCTAGACCAGCAAGAAAGGACGCAGAAGTCACCACTGCCTGCGGTGTTATCACCTCACAACAGCCTGCTTCCAGGACTTAGACACTGACTGGGCCCAAACACTTCTCAATCTGTGAGTCACAGGGTAACCTGTAGGACACTGATAAGCTTCGGTAATTTGTCTTTCCACTCAGACCAAGGCTGTGCTCCATAGCACAGTAGAATAGTCAGTCACCAATTCTGTATCTAACCAGCAATCTCATTTTCTCATTCTTTTTATTCGTTCATTACAAAAATCCTAGTTGTGTATTCATTCCCGAACTGCCACTGTTATCCCGGCTGATCCTTCCTTAACAAATAACAGGACAGGGCTGTTCGCAGCAGAATTATGCTGTAACACTGGAGAACTACACATGGACTGTTTGCCCAAATATTTCCTTCCAAAATCAAAACAAAAAAGTTCTCAAGTAACAAGATTCAGGAAATATTAACAAGCCCGAAAACATAGAACAAACCCCCGTAAACCTCCTGCCCAGCTTTAAGCAGTAGCACTAGCTTCTGGCGCCTGCTGGCCCAATCGTTTTTCTGAGCTGTTCCTTTTTTGTAAGGGATGAGCGTGCACGACCCTGTCCTTTCAGCAACAGTGTGCACCCGGCCTCATCGCTTTGCAGCGGCTCTGGGCGGCGGCAGACCCAGCGCAGATGAGCCCCATCCTCTCCCTTCTACGAGGCCCCGCCACCGCCTGAGAGGCTGCCGTGCTGGCGGGAAACCGGGCGCCTGGCTCCACGGCAAGAACCCCCGGGTCGGAGGCTGGGCCGGTCGGGGCCCCGCCGCCGCCTTTACCCTCGCAGCTCTCCGGAGGCGCTGCAGCGACGGGACAGCGGCGGAAGGAGAGCGGCGGGCGCGCGGGCGCTCCCCGGCCTCGGCTCCCCCCGGCCTCGGCTCTCCGCAGCAGCCGCGCCGGGCGCCGTCCGCCGGGCCCGCCGCTCCTTCCCGGCCCCGGCGCCGTTAGCGCAGGCTCCACACTCACCGGGCCCCGTCCCCGTCCCGGCCCGGCCACGCCCCCAGGCGCCCGGGGTCCGTCGCCGGCCACACCGTCGCGCGCTCGCTTCCGCCGGCTGCAAACACGTCCCGCGCACGCGCACCGCGGGGGCGGAGCGCCCAGGCCACGCCCCCGGCGCTCGCGGGCGGTGGCCGGAGGACGTGGTGCGTCGGACCTGACGCCTCCCGGAAGGCCGCTCGCGAGGCGGGCTCTGCGTGCGAGCGGTCTCCGTCTCCGAGGGTCTCCGTGGGGCGCGGGGGTCCCCCGTCCGTAACCCCGCGAGGCCCCACGAGACCCAGGCCTGCGGGACCAGCGCAGCGCGGGCCGTGGAGCCAGGGCCGGGGCCGCACGCGGGGGTCGCAGGCGGGCCCTCCCAAACCGCCCCCCTTAGCGTCAGTAAGGTTTGTGTGGTGGCTTTACTTATTTGCTCTGCTATTTTTGCCTTTTCTGTCTCTTCGGGCTAAGATCAAGCAGCATGAGAGTAGGACCTGATTTTGCTAACTCTTTCGTCCCCGCGCCCGTCCGAAGACCACCCGCACCTAACCAGCGATCAATGAATACTTGTTGAAAGAACAAATGAGCCGGGGATGTAGCTCAGTGGCGCCGCCTGCCTCGCAAGCACAAGGTCCCGAGTTCGATCCCCGCTACCAAAAACCAAAACCAAAAACCAAGAAAGAACAAATGAAGTAAGGTGGAGGAAAAACGCGTGGCCTGTAACAAAGCCTCGCCGCCCTGCCTGACCCCGCCCTGGGCCAAGGCCTGAGAAGCATCCAGAGAGGCTACTGAGTCGAACTAGAAGGTGACAGACCCCGGGACACATAAAAATAAGGTAGGCGCGCCCTGCGGCGTGGGAAGATAAGTCTTATCTCCCTCTCGGGGCGTGTGGGGCCTTAACTAAGGCTTCCCGCACGAACACCGGTTAGAAATAACTCGGAAAGGTTTCCATCCATGTGAACTTCAGTTCTTTTTCGGGTGTTTAGGTCTGTTGCAACCCTGCCTGTGTGTGTGCGGAGCTCCCTGGGCAGAGGTCAGAGGTCAGCACCTCTGAGTTTAACCACAGCAGGATTGTGTGTTTGTTCCTGTTGACAGTCACAGGTAAAATGTTCTCACAGCGAGGCCGGATGTCCACTGCCCGGCCTGGCTGCCTCCTCCTCCCTCCTGTAGCCCGTGAGCCAGGTGCCACACAAGCCCTTGGGCCTCTTGGTCCCAGCTGTGGGCAGCAGGCACAGAGGAGCACCCGCACTAGGGAAGCCGCCCAGGCCGACTGCCCAGTGACAGCTGGAGTTTGAGACGCTGCCCATCGGCCATTTGAAGCTTCATGAAATATTTTAATGGAGTCTTATTCTTTTCACTAAGAAAAAGACATCAGCAGATGAGTGGTCTGTTTCCCCTGAACTCAGCAAAATGACTTAGTTCTCAGTGAGATGTTTCTAAGGGTAAGAGAATTTCTCTGATTTTATTTTTATGTCATTTTTGTAGTATTAGGCATTGAATTCTTTTTTTAAATTTTGAGACAGGGCCTCTGTAAATTGCCAGACTGGACTGGGCTTGAAATTTGCCACCCTCCTGCCTCAGCCTCCCCACTGGCTAATCTGATCCTGATTTTGGATCCACACTCACTCTCCACCGAGTTCGTTCTGTGGGCAGGAGAAGTAGGCCTCTGTGCTGCCAAACAATGCTGTGCGATGTGGTGCCCCTGAGAACTCAGGATTGTGATCTACTGAAGGGATTAACAACAAGCGTGACCATCTGGTCAGCTTCTTGGCCTGCTGTGGCAAGAGTCCCCACCTCACTCCAGCTACATCCTCTCCACCCAAGGACAAGACCTCAGGTCACCCTTGGTGTCCCAGTGAATTCCTTGTGCCCCACCCTCCTCCAGCAGGAATCCTGTTGAGTCTGTCAGGCAGGCATCCATCTCCTAGCCCATGTCTTTGCAGTGATTTTCCATCTTAGGTTCAGCCTGCTCCTTAGCTGCAAATCTCTCTCTCTGTCTCTCTCTCTGTCTCTGTCTCTATCTCTCTCTGTCTCTCTGTCTCTCTCTGCCTCTCTCTCTGTCTCTCAGTCTCTCTCTGTCTCTGTCTCTATCTCTGTCTCTCTGTCTCTGTGTCTCTCTGTCTCTCTGTCTCTGTTTCTGTCTCTCTGTCTCTCTCTCTGTCTCTCTGTCTCTGTTTCTGTCTCTCTGTCTCTGTCTCTCTGTCTCTCTCTGTCTCTGTCTCTCTGTCTCTGTCTCTCTGTCTCTCTTTGTCTCTGTCTCTCTGTCTCTGTCTCTTTCTGTCTCTGTCTGTGTCTCTCTGTCTCTGTCTCTGTCTCTCTGTCTCTGTGTCTGTCTGTCTCTGTCTCTCTGTCTCTGTCTCTGTCTCTCTGTCTCTCCCTGTCTCTATCTCTCTGTCTCTCCCTGTCTCTATCTCTCTCTTTATCTCTCTGTATGTGTTTGAGACACAGTCTCACTATGTCATCCAGGCTGGGGTCAAACTTGCAATCCTCCTGCCTCAGCCTCCTCAGTGCTGGAATTTCAGGATTACACCCCTGGGCCCAGCTGTACTTATCCTTGAGCCAACTCTCTCTGCCCTATTGCAAGACTCTGTTACAGCAGTCCCTAACCAACCCTACCACAATGTTCTCCCGAATAAAGTCTACCTCACTGTTCCTTAACAAATGTCATAAATACTTTTTCCTTTAACTTTAACTTATACTTTTTTCCTTTAACTTATACTTTCAGTAAAATTAAACCTTACAGGGAAAAATTGTGATAGGAAACTATAGCTTCCTACAATCATTCCTGTATGTATGGACACTCATTGTGTCCATTTCTTTTTCTAAAAAGCATATCTGTCTGAAAAATTCTGAGCCATAAAGCACAGTGCCCTGGCTTGTATCTGAGCATATATATAGCTAATGGCTATAATTACCTCTCACACAGCCCTCAAATCCCAGTTGGCCAAAGGCATTGGGGATTGCCATAACAACCAGCTTTACCAACATCCTGGTAAGATTAGGTGACTGAGGGTTCTCATCAAGGAGGTGCTTTGGGGCCACCTCCTCCCATGGGGACATCTGTCAGTCAGTATCTGGAGACTTTGGGCTTTCACAGCTTGGGGTGGGAAGACGGGAGAAGCTCCCAGGTCAGCCCTACACCAGGAACTGTCCAGCCTGTGATGTGATCAGTGCTGAGGGTGAGAAGCTCTCATCCAGGAAGACGAAATACCTCCAACTAAACCTCAACATCAGAGAACGGCACGAAGCCCCAAGTAAGAACTGTCAGAGAGGGACCCTGTTCCCAGTGGGATCTTTCAGAGAGGAGCACCAGTCTTCAGGGAGGGAGGCTTTGTGCTGCGCACGCAGGTCTCCACCTGCTGCAACTCTTGGCACTGTACCAAATGAGTCTCTGTGGTGACCTGGAAGATTTTCTTTTCTCTCCCTCCCCCATCCCCTTCCCTTCCCTCCTCTTCCCTACCCCCTCCTCTGTCTCTGTGTCTCTGTCTCCGCCTCTCTCTCTCTCTCTCTCCCTCTGTCTCTCTCTCTCTCATGCTAAAGATGGCATCCAGCACCTTGTGCATGCTAGGAAGCACTCTACCACCAGTCACACCCACAGCCATAACTTTTTTTTCAGATTGGGTTTTGAGTATGTACTCCAGGCTACCAAACTCCGAGCTGGAGATCCTCCTGCCTCGGCCTATGGCAACTTTGAAAATGCTTAATTCATTTCCATGTCTATATCTCTACCCACTTTGGTTGACTTTTCAGCCGAGTTAGACTTTAGGAACAAGTTTATAAGCTCAAAGCTGCCGCCCTCTCCATGAACACAAAGCATAACGTGATGTGAATCAAACACATAAGCATATAAAATAAATGAAGTTAATGTTTCCGAAGCATTAGGGAGAATGCTATGAAGGTGTCAGATCCAACAAGCAACACACTGACTTAGTGTATCTGTTAACTGCTGAACATGAAAACTTACCTTAGAGTTTTCTTTCCAAGTTCCCCTCCCACACAACTGCACTGGGTTGGATTTATAGCCAGGGCTGTGAGCTCCGGGAAACAGAATTCCAGTTTGGCCAAACTTGAGAAAGGCTGAGGCTCCAGATGTCCTCCTGCCCCTGCCAGCCTGGGACAGGTCCCCCGAAGTCTCCTGACAGGGGAAGAGGAGGCACTCTGGCCCGGTGGCTCAGCAGCCCTGGAGATCACTAGAGGAGGCCTGAGTCACTCGCCATGCCACATGGTGTCAGTGACGTCTCCTGAGGAGTGGCCTCCCCCTCACAGAGGTGTAGCCATTACACCCACATGCTGACTGCCCAGGCCCTGTCCCTGTGAAAGTGGGTCAAAGTGGGGAGATGCCAGGTGACTCCACAGGGCGTGACAGTGAAGCAGGAAACAGTAAGGACCCTGGCACAGATAACTCTTTAACACGAAGGTAGGAGCAAAAAGTGGCCTTTAATGATGCTGGTGGCTCAGCGAGTGTCCGCACTGTTTCCTACTTCATTTGGTAAATTGGCCGGGACGCTCTGGGCCCCGGTGCAGTCACTCATGGCAGATTGCCTCCCCGACGGGCAGGGGGGGGGGCTCTGCTGGCCGGACAATGAGCTCCTGCTGAGTGCACTCTGACAGAATATTTCCTGTCTCTGCGAGTCTCTCAGTACGACCGCTGAGACACCCAGGCTGGCCTCCTGAGGAGGGCTCATATGGAGAGGGCCAGATGGCACATGGCAGACATCTGAATCACAGTAAGGTCGAGGGGCCCTGCTTTGAGGAGGAGATCCAAGGAGGCGTCTCCAAAAGAGGACTGGTCACCCTCTGTGTTCCCATTGTCCCTGCCAGGATGCAGTGAAACTGGAATGCTTTGGGCTGCCGGAAGGCCGGTTTGGGCGCTGCTGGTGGTGGGTGGGAGTATTTAGTTGAATCTGTGAGTACCTGTGTGTGAATAAGCGGACATCGCATTGCATTCCTGACTCCAGTCCAGTGCACAGGGCTGCAGTGAGTTTGGAGCTCCAAACCGCGGTTCCAGGGCCACCTCCTATGGGTTAGGGCAGCACTATGCTGACAGCCAGGATCACTGGCTGCCATTGCCAAGAGGGGCCTGAGATACCTCCTCAAGGAGACTGGCTGGGGGCAGACGAAGCGCTTGGGGTCTTGTTTGTCATTCGTTTCTGTGGGAGGAAAAGCTGTGGGTGGGAACCATAGCAAAAACACTTTACTAAGGGATTTACTGGAGACTATGGTCAGAAACTTACTCCAGGGAAACTAAGAACCTTTGTGAGGTGGAATGGCCGTCCTTTCAGGTTGGATACTCCCACAAGACTCATTTAAAAAAAACAAAACCTTAGTCCAGAAAGTGACAGGTTATCAGGTTGACAGCCCCAGGCACCCAGATCAGTTCCCTTATGTGGACTCAGGGTTACAGCTGGTTCTTTGCCCACCCCCTTGGCTGAGGGAACCGCTTTCCTGAGGTAGGGTCGCCACAATGGTCTGTCAAAACAGGCAAAGACCTGCCACAACTCCGCCTGTTTTTGAGGGCCATCCAGATGATTCGGCCTTAGATGTATTGAGTCTCCCATTCCCGGACCAACCTCCACCTGACGGGCAGCAGATACCAGCCCCAGCTCCAGGACCCTCTGCACCTCCAGAGTCAGGCCCTTCAGTTCCGGGATGGCGGTCTGACCTCTGGTTTGGCCCCAGATTCCCGTGTCTGCTTCATCCCTCACTTCTTCCATGAGGCCTCCTCGTGCTGAAGCTCCCCAGACCTAATCGATAGGGGAACGAATCACTTGGTTATGACAGTCCCCACTGGGCCTCTCAGCCGGATGACAACTGACATCAGGAGGCCGCAGGACA